CCCCAAAACCCCAAAACCCCAAAACCCCAAGGTATGGTGAAAATTCTGTTATATGAATAGAATAAATCCTGAAACTAACGTAAATCACAATAAGTAAAAATATATTTTCCTATCTTCATTTGAACAAGTCAAATATTTTCCACATTGTGAGAAACTCACACTTTTTAGAGCTTTATTTTCGCAAATGAGTTGCCTTTTAATCAATCCATTTTAAGTAAGAGAGAATATGTTAATATATCCGTCAGCATCTCCAATTGCTAAGATCACATCGCTCCCTTCTCTTTCAATAGCTTTATAATCAAATTTTATATCTAAGATGGATGCAGATGTTTTTGGCAGATCTATTTCAGAAATCAATAGATAATCCAAGAATTAGTTTTCTTTTGAACTTGCTACTGTTTCGAAGAGCTTAAGAATAAGAATTTTTGAATTTAAAGTCTTTAAAATTACCAAATCATTGAGAAATTTTACTTGCTCACATATATTTTAATCTTCTTTTATAATATACTAGTAGGTTCTCAAGAGAAAGTTTTGAAGTTTAAAATCACCAATAAAAGGTTAAATAATCTCTATGTGTAAATCGATTATTGAGCCACTGCTACTTGAAGTTTTTAGAGCTAAACTATTTATAATAAGGTCGCTCATATCATACACTCTTATAACTTGATCAAAAGAACTTGATACAAGCTTATGTGAAGTTTAATGCCAATCGATTGATGAAAATTCACTAGTTGGGAAAGCAGTCTATCCAATTACGCAAAGCTGTTGCATCTAAAAGCAATCCCAAAGTCTAATAGTTTTGTCGGTTGAACAGCTCGCCAACAAAAATGGATCTAATTTATTGAATTTTAAATCAGTAACCTCACCACCGTGACCACTCAACTCTTTTATTGACTTCTTTATGTACTTGGAAATATCACAAATATATATTATTCCCAATATTCCAGTAAAACCAATTACTTGAGTTTTAGTTTGATCCTTCCTCCATTAAGTCCAATCACAAAGTTTCAATCTCTCGAATTGACTTGAACTTCTAATAACTATCTCTTTGTATAATTCATGCTTAATTGGCTAATTTAATTACTAAGGCTTTTACACTAGCAATTTCAATTCATTTAGAAGTCCAATAGCTAAGTATTACTCTCCATTAGTTACATCATAAGGACTATAACTTAACAAATTGATTGTACTATTCAAGTAATCTTAAGATTCTTTGATTAATTTTTCTAGATTGCATAATTATTCATTTTGCTAATTGAACTAAAAGAAGAATTGAGACTCTAGATTCATGCTTATGTTGTCTAGTGATTTTTCAAAGTAAGAGTGGAATACTTTGTCCACTTAATTGTTACTAACGCTAGTGTTATAATTATTGTGAGCAAAATCGTGATTTATGATTGTGGATATATCCTAGTTATTTATACTCAACTAATCTATGAACTAATTTGGAAGCTCCTTGACAAATTTTAACTCCGAATTTTATTATTCTGATGATTCCATTTAAATCTCCCACAAATTTCTAATATTTTAATTACATAAATGTTATCCTTTTAATACAATCTTATTCTGAAATGATGGGGT